TCTAACTATTTTTTCTCAATTCAGAAACAGGAATTTTATCATGTAGTCTCAGCAATGGATTGTTGTATGTGTCATCAGAATATCAATACTCCAGACTATTCTTAGAGTCATTTGTTATACAGTGAGTTCAACAGCCTGGCCATGGAGAACAGAAATTTCTAGGAGAAGCAAAATAGCCCTTAGGAAGGCCAAGTTTTTTTATTGTGTCTTTTTTTTAGATTTTTTTATCATTTATTTTTTAAATTCCAATCCCAGTTCCCCCTCCCTGCTTTGGTCCCAATCCATCCAATTAATTCCCCCTCCTCCCATCTACTATATGGATAGGGTAAGCTCTCCAATAGGAAGTCTACTAAGTCTGTCCTATCATCTAGTTGTGGCAGGACCAAGGCACCTCTCCACCACCACAGTCCTGTGTCTAGACTGGACATGGTATCTCTCCATATAGAATGGGCTTCACTAAGTCAATTTGTACATTAGTGTTAGGCCTCAGACCCACTGGCAGTGGCCTCCTATATTGTCCCAATCACACCACTGTTACCTAATTTAAGGGTGTCTAGTTGGGTCCTATGCAGATTATCCATTGGTCAGACCTAAGTCAGTGATCTCTCACTAGCTCGAATCAGCTAGTTCTGTGGGATATCCCCATCATAGACTCCTTTGTTCATATTTTTGAACTTTGCTCACTTGATTGTACTGCAGGAACTTGGCCCATTGGTTAGTTGTGAATTTCTGCATCTGCTTCCATCTATTTATCGAAGAGGGTCCAAGCTTCTCTGGGGTTATGGATTGTAAGCTGAGTATCTTTTGCTTTGTTTCTGGCATCCACTTACGAGTGAGTACATACTATATTTGTCTTGGTCATTTTGAGTTATCTCAGGAGGTTTTCTTCTAGTTCTGCCCATTTGACTGCAAATTTTAGGATGTCATTGTTTCTTGCCACTGAGTAGTACTCCATTGTGTATATATACCATATTTTCATCATCCTTTCTTCAGTTGAGGGACATCTAGGCTGTTTCTCAGATCAGGCTATTACAAGTAAAGTTGCTTTGAACATAGCTGAGCAAATGTCCTGGTGGTGTGAATGTGCCTCCTTCAGGTATATGCCCAACATTGATATTGAAGGTAAGTTGATCCCTAATTTTCTGAGAAAACTCTATACCGATTTCCACAGCAGCTATACAAATATGCACTCCCATGAGCATGGAGGAGTGATCCTCTTTCTCCAATCCTCTCTAGCATAGGCTGTCATTGGTGTTTTTAATCTCAGCCATTCTGATCAGTGCAACATGGAATCTCAGAGTGGTTTTTATTTGCATTTCCCTGATTATCAGGGTGTTGAGCATTTCCATAAGTGTGTTTCTGCCATTTGTGATTGTTCTGTTGAGAATTCTCCATTTCAATATGTATACCATTTTTTAATTGCATTAATTTGAAGATTGATTTCTACTTTCTTGAATTCTTTGTATATTTTGGAGATCAGCCCTCTGTCAAATGAAGGGTAGGTAAAGACCTTTTCCCAATTTGTAGGGAGCCTTTTTGTCTCATTGACAGGGTTCTTTGCTTTACAGAAGCTTTTCAGTTTCTGGAGGTCCCATTTATTAATTGTTGCTCTCAGAGTCTGTGCTACTGGTGTTCGATTTAGGAAATGGTCTCCTTTGACTATGCATTCAAATGTGTTTCCCACTTTGTCTTCTAAGACATTCAGTGTGGCTAGATTTATATTAAGGTCTTTGATCCATTGGGACTTGAGTGTTGTGCATGGCAATATATATGGATCTATTTGCATTCTTCTACATGTTGACAGCCATTTATACCAGCACCATTTGTTGAAGATATTTTCTAATTTTCCATTTTATATGTTTACCTTCTTAGTCAAATTTAGGTGTTGATAGGTGTGTGGGTTGGTATTGGGGTCTTTGATTTGATTCTACTGGTCCATCTGTCTGTTTTAAACCAATACCAAGCTTATTTCATTAGTAAAGCTCTATAGTAGAGATTGAAGTCCAGGATGGTGATACCCCAGGATGATCCTTTATTACATGGGATACTTCTGGCTATCCTGAGTTTTTTGTTTTTACATATGAGAGTGAGTACTGTTCTTTCAAGGTTTGTGAAGAATTGTGCTGGGATTTTGATAGGAATTGCTTGGAATCTGTATATTGCTTTTGGTAGGATTGCCATTTTTACTACATTGATACTGCCTATCCAAGAGCATGAGAGATCTTTCCATTTTCTGATATCTTCTTTAATTTCTTTCTTTAAAACCTTGAAGTTCTTCTCATATAGGTGGTGTGGTTTTTTGCTTTGTTCCTTTTTATATTTAAATTAGAAAAAACTTGGTTTACATGTGTATCAGAGGTCCCACTCCCTCCCCTCCTCCCCAAATCCCAACAATTCCCGATCCCATCCTCTTGCTCCTCCCAAAGGAGGGTGAGGCCTTCCATAAGGGATCTTTGAAGTCTGTCATATCGTTTGGAGCAGGTCCTAGGCCCTCCCCTGTGTGTCTAGTCTGAGAGAGTATCCCTCTATGTGGAATGGGCTCGCAAAGTCCATTCCTATCCTATGGATAAACACTGATCCACTGCCAGAGGCACCATGGATTGCCCAGGCCACATAAATGACAACCACATTCTGGAGGTATGGATAAGTCCTATTCTGCCTTCCCAGAGATCAGTCGGGAGTCCATGAGCTTCCCCTTGTTTAGATCAGTTGTTTCTGAGGGTTTCTGAAGCCTGGTCTTGACCCCTTTGCTCATCACACCTCCCTCTTTGAAATTGGATTCCAGGAGTTCAGCTCAGTGTTTAGCTGCAGATATCTACTTCTGCTTTCATCAGCTACTGGATGAAGGCTCTAGGATTGCATATAAATAAGGTAGTCATCAATCTCATTATTGGGAAGGGTTTATAAGGTACCCTCTCCGGTATTGCTTAGATTGTTGGTTGAGGTCATCCTTGTATATCTCTGGACATTTCCCTAGTTCCAGATTTCTCTTGAAACCTATACTGGCTCCCTCTATTATATTATCTCTTTTCTTGCTCTCCTCTAATCTTCTTCTGACTCAAACTTCCTGTTCACTCATGTCCTCCCCTCCCCTCCTCTTCTCCCATTCTCTTCATCCAAACACCCTCTAAACTCCCTTTCTCTAGGGGAACATGTATTTCTCTCTTAGGGTCCTCCTTGTTTTCTAGCTCCTCTGGCATTGAGAATTGTAGGCTGGTAATCCTTTTCTCTGTGTCAAAAATCCATAAATGAGTGAGTACACACCATGTTTGTCTTTTTGAGAATAGGTTACCTCACTCAAATTGGTTTCTTCTAGCTCCATCCATTTGCCTGGGAATTTCAAGATTCCTGTGTTTTTTTCCACTAAGTAAGACTCCACTGTGTAAGTGTACAACATTTTCTTTTTCCATTAATCAGGTAAGTGGCATCTAGGTTGCTTCCAGCTTCTGGCTATTACAAATTTTGCTGGTATGATCATAGTTGGGCAAATGTCCTTGTTGTATGAATATTCATCTTTTGGGTATATTCCTAACAGTGGAATTGCTGGACCTTGTGGTAGGCTGATTCCTACTCTCCTGTGGAACTGCCATACTGATTTCCAAAGTGGATGTACAAGTTTGCACCCACACCAGCAGTGAATGAGTGTTCTGCTTTCTCCAGATTCTCTCCAGAATAAAGTGTCATTGGTGTTTTTTATTTTAGCCATTCTGACAGGAGCAAGATGGTATCTCAGAGTTGTTTTGATTTGCATTTCCCTGATGGCTAAAAACTTTGAGTAGTTTCCTAAATGTCTTTCAGACATTTTAGATTCCTCTATTGAGAATTCTCTGTTTAGTTCTGTACCCCAATTTTGGGGGGATTTTAGCCAGAAATTCTTTTTGTTTGTTTTATTTTCCTTTTTCCTTCCTTTTTTATTTGAATTATAAACAAGATTGTTTTACATGTCACTCCCTCCCCTCCTCCCCTACCACACTTCCCAACTAAAACCCTAACTATCACTTATCCTTTCTGCTGCCCAGGGAGGGTGAGGTGTATCATAGGGGGTCATCAGAGTATATCATATCCTTTGGGATAGGGCCTAGGCACACCCCCATGTGTCTTGGCTCAGGGAGTATCCCTCTATGTGGACTGGGCTCCCACAGTCCACATCTATGCTAGGGATAAGTACTGAACTACTACAGTAGATCCCATAGATTTCTGAGGTTTCCTCAATGAAATCCGTGTTCCTGGGGTCTGGATCAGTCCCATGCTGGTATTCCGGCTATCAGTCTGGGGACCAAGAGCTCCCCATTGTTCAGGTCAGCTGTTTCTGTGGATTTCACCAGCTTGGTCTGGTTGGAAGGAAAAGTAAACCCAGAAAAGCATGTTGAGGTAGTATTCTCTCTTGCACTCCTAACATTTAAAATTCAAACATTTTCACACACAGTGACATGCACGCGCGCGCGCGCGCGCGCGCGCACGCGCACACGCACGCGCACACACACACACACACACACACACACACACACACACACACACCATCTAAGAGGTAACATAAAATCACATAGAGACAATATTGTCAAAGAATAACAACTATTTATACAGTTGAATCAAATTAACTCTGGTAAATTCTTTGATTAAAATATTACCTTGTAAAGCTGAGTGATTTAATCAATGAGTATTTAATTTCCTCTAATTGTAGAAGGTAAAACCAAGAGCATGATACTTTAAAAGGGCATTTGCTGTTTTCATATTGATGGTCAAAAATTTTTGTAGTGTACTAAATACAATTGAAAGTAAAGTAAGCTGTGGTGGGACTGTCAATAATGAGGATATAAGCTTTAGGATTTTGTTTCATTCTAAGAAAGTAATATAATTGGTTTGTTTCCAGTCATTTAGTGGGAAAGGTTAAATGTGGACCAATATAAACATTAATATTTCAACTAGAAAAGTCACTGGGTTAGATGCAGCTCTGCATGATCCATAACTTCCTCCAGTGTGTGTTTATTTTATTTACTCAGGTATAATTTTAAAAACTATGAGTTTATTCTGGCCCTGGTATTTGCCATTGAGGAGATCAACAGGAACCCCCATCTTTTACCAAACATATCTCTGGGATTTGATTTTTATAATGTCCCACACAGTGAGAAAAATATTCTTGTGCATGCAATTCGTTGGTTCACAGGCCATCTTTATCACCTCTCTAACTATAACTGTGTAAAGGAGAGAAAGTCAGCTGCTGCACTGACAGGACCATCATGGGCAAAATCTGCCCATCTTGCGACACTGCTTCAACTCTACAAATTCCCACAGGTGAGGCATCACATTTGAGTCAGACCCAGATCTCATTGCTGACAATTCAGAGGTACATTAATATAAAAGAAAGATGCTTGGATTACTTAGCTATCTGGGGCAAGTGTAAAGACAATTGGAGATGGAACCATATTTCAGTCACTTGGAAAAGAAAGGGAAGGATGGAAGTAACAAAGAGGTTTGTTTAAAAACAAAGGAGAGTTCAGTAATTCACTGGAAATTCTGCCACAGAGATTTACCTTTAATATCACGATGAACCAAAAATCATGCTGAGCATTTCCATCTCTCCCTTTAAAGTGGACATTGTGTTTGATGCCATTATTTGACTTTGTTCCTAATTGCTTTCTTTTCAGCTTTCCATTGGTCCTTTTGATCCTATTTTGAGTGACAGAAGTCAGTTTAATTCTCTCTATCAGATGGCTCCCAAAAGCACATCTCTGTCTCTTGCCATGGTCTCTTTGATGGTTCATTTTGGCTGGAACTGGATTGGTCTGCTTCTTCCAGATGACCACAGAGGGACTGAGTTTCTATCAGATTTAAGAAAAAATATGGAGAAAAATACAGTCTGTATAGCTTTTGTGGAAATGATCTCAAGCACATGGACTTCATTTTCCTACAAATTCTGGGCAAATTTGGGGAAGATCCAGGAATCATTAGCCAATATCATCGTCATTTATGGTGACAGCGATTCCCTACAAGGTTTAATGCTGAATCTAGGAAAACACTTTTTGACATGGAAAGTTTGGGTCATGAACTCTCAATGGGATGTTACCAACCATGCTGATTATTTCCTGGTAGATTCATTCCATGGAAGTCTCATTTTTAAACATCAACATGAGCAGATGGCTGAATTTTCAAGATTTATCAAAACAGTTAACCCATTCAATTACCCAGAAGACATTTACCTTCCTAAGTTATGGTTTTTGTTCTTCAAATGCTCATTTTCAGAGCTTGATTGTCAACTTTTGGAGAGATGCCAAGCAAATGCTTCCTTGGAATTTCTTCCTAGACACATTTTTGACATGGCAATGAGTGAAGAGAGTTATAATATATACAAGGCTGTATATATTCTTGCCCACAGTCTCCATGAGATGAGCCTTCAGCAAGTACAAATGCAACCATCTGAAAATGGGAAAGAAATGCTGTTCTTTCCCTGGCAGGTAATACCCCTTCCATTGTATTAAAGCTTTAGCAATTTGACGGCTTTTGAGAATTTGAATATTCTCCATATTAGGTGTTACATATTTTATCATTATATTATAAAATCAAAGGAGAATCTTTAATTGTTTTCTTATCTTACAAGGCAGTGCAGCTTTTTGTGTGCAAGTTGCTGAGGAATAAGTTGTTAGTGGCAAAGAGGAAATAATGTTAGTGAATATAAAGATTATGTCACAAACAGCCTCACAACCTGCTCATGGTAAGAGATTACATTAGAAAACTAAGCATTCTCTCACTAACTGAAGCAATGACAGATAATTAGCACAATGTATCAGTACATAAATGATTGCTTTTGACTAATATTTAATCATCAGTGTCCACAATTTACTCATGGAACTTTGGGATACACTATGTATGTAAGTAAAATGTATAGATTTTTAAAAAGGAAGTTGAGATTTACTTCAATCAAATTTACTCATTGATTCTTTCCTGAGAATGATTAGATGATTTTCTTGAGGTTGGGTGTCCCTTCAGAGATTGAATGGCATCACCTAAACCCTGGTAACCACTTCTCAGCCTCAGTGATACTACATAAGTGTATTGTCCTACACCAGAGATTAAAAACAATGAGAGACATTCTATTATTGATCTGTGATGAACTGCATGGACCTACTTTAAAATATGTTCTTGCATCCCTTTCAGCTTCAACCTTTCTTGAGGAATAATCATGTCAAAGACAACATAGATTTAGATTGGAAACAGGAGTTTGATGATAAGTATGACATTCTCAACTTTTGGAATATTCCAAAGGGTCTTGGACTAAAGGTGAAAGTTGGAACCTTTTTCTTCAATGCTCCGTGGGGTCAAAGGTTATCTTTATCTGAACAGTTGATACAATGGCCAAAAATATATTCAAAGGTGATTTATGATTTATTTTGAAGCATTAAACTTATCATAATAACACAAATAAAATAAAACCTGGTTTCTAGCTCAAAACAAATTAGTATAAAACTTCCAGTAGAGAAGAATTAAAAAATACCAGTATCCAGTGTTTTATTGTTCCCAAGCTTGTTTCACATATCAATCCCTTCTCCCTCTCCCTCCACTCTCTCCCAAGCTCCCACCAGCCCCACCACCCCATCCCCCTCTGCTCCCCAGGGAGGGTGGGGTCCTCCATGGGGCCTTCCCAAAGTCCACCACAGCATCCTGGGCCAGGCCTGGGTACTCCCCCATGTGTCCCTTCATGTGGAATGGACTCTCAAAATCCCTTCTTACACCAGCGATAAAAACTGATCCACTACAAGGGGCCCATAGAGTGCCGAGGCCTCCTCATTGACATCCATGTTCAGGATCAGTCCCCGTGCTGGCCTCCCAAACAGCAGACTGGAGTCCATGTTCTCCCCCTTGTTCAGGTTAGTTGCTTCTGTGAGTTTCACCAGGCTGGTCCCAAACCCTTTGATCTTCATTCCTCCATCCTTGCAACTGGATTCCACAGTTCAATTCAATGGGTAGCTGTGAGTGTCTACCTCTGCTTCCAGCAGCCACTGAATGAGGGCACAAGGATGGCATAAAAAGTCATCAGTCTCATTATAGGGGAAGGGCATTTAGGGTAGCCTCTCCACCATTGCCTAGATTGTCAGTTGGTGTCGTCCTTGTGGGTCTCTGGGAATCTCCCCAGTACCAGATAACTCCTCAGACCTATGATGGTTCCCTCTATTATTTTATCTCTCATCCTGCTCTCCTTTATTCTTCCCCAGACCCAACTTTTCTTCTACTCCATTTCCTACTCTTGCCACCATTCTCCTCCCTTCATTCTGCCAGCTCCCTCTCCCCTACCCGCATGCTCCCAGTTAGCTCAGGATAGCCTGCTCTGCCCTGTTCTCTGGGGTCCATGCATTTTTCAATTAGAGTCCCTTGTGTTTCCTAGTTCCTTTGGTGAAGAGGATTGTAGGCTGTTAATCCTTTGCTCTATGTCTAAAATTCATATATGAGTGAGTACATACCATGTTTGTTTTTTGTGACTTGGTTACCTCACTCAGGATGTTTTTTTTCTATTTCCATCCATTTGCCTGCGAATTTCAAAATTCCATTGCTTTTTTCTACTGAGTAGTACTCCATTTTCTCTATCCATCTTCAGTTGAGGGGCATCTAGGTTGCTTCCAGATTCTGGCTATTACAAACAATGCTTCTATGAACATATGTCCTTGTTTTATGAATGTGCATTATTTGGGTATATGTCCAAGAGAGGAATTGCTGGATCTTGAGGTAGACTGGTTCCCATTTTCCTGAGAAACCACCATATTGACTTCCAAAGTAGTCTTACAAGTTTGCACTCCCACCAGCAATGGGGGAATGTTCCTTTTTCTCCACATCCTCTCCAGCATAGACTATCATTGGTGTTTTTTATTTTAGCCATTCTAACAGGAGTAAGATGGTATCTCAGAGTTGTTTGATTTGCATTTCTCTGATGGCTAAGGATTTTGAGCACTTTCTTAAGTGTTTTTCAGACATTTTAGATTCCTCTGTTGAAAATTCTCTATTTAATTCTGCACCCCACTTACATTGATTGGTGTTTTGGTGGCTAGCTTCTTGAGTTCATTGTATATTTTGGAAATCAGCCCTCTGCCCGATGTAGGCTTGGTGAAGATCTTTTCCCATTCTGTGGGCTGTCCAATTGTCTTACTGACTGTGTCCTTTGCCTTACAGAAGCTTCTCAGCTTCAGGAGGTCCCATTTATTAATTGCAGATCTCAATGTCTGTGCTACTGATGTAATCTTCAGGAAGCAGTCTCCTGTGCCTATTCATTCAATGGTATCTCCCACTTTCTCTTCTAGAAGATTTAGGCTGTCTGGATTTATTTTGAGATCTTTCATCCATTTGCACTTAAGTTTTGTGCATGGTGATAGATATTGATCTATCTGCAATCTTCTGCATGTATGAATCTGGCTGTGCCAGCACCATTTGTTAAAGATGCTATCTTTTTTCCATTGTATAGATTAAGCATCTTTGTAAAAATCAGGTGTTCATACATGTGTGGGTCAATATCAGGGTTTTCAATTTGATTCCAGTGGTCTATCTGTCTATTTTTGTGCCAATACCAAGCTGTTTTCAGAACTATGGCTCTATAATAGAGCTTGAAGTCAAGAATAGTGATGCCTACAGAAGACCCTTCACTGTACAGAGTTGTTTTGGCTATCCTGGGTTTTATGCTTTTCCATATAAAGTTGAGTATTGTTCTTTCAAGGTCTGTGAAGAACTGTGTTGGGATTTTGATGGGGATTGCGTTGATCTGTACATTACTTTTGGCAAGATTGCTGTTTTTACTATGTTGATTCTACCTATCCAAGAGCATGGGAGATCTTTCTATTTTCTGGTATCTTCTTTAACTCTAACCAAAAAAGTGAAATACCTGTACAGCAAGAGCTTTCTTTTTTCCATTGTATAGATTTAGTTTCTTCATCAAAAATCTGGTGTTCATAGGTGTGTGGGATAAAATCAGGGTTTTCAATTTGATTCCATTGGTGTATCTGTTAATTTTTGTGCCAGAACCAAGCTGTTTTCAGGACTATGGCTCTATAATAGAGATTGAAGTCAGGGATGGTGATGCCTCCAGAAGTTCCTTTATTGTACAGGGATGTTTTGGCTATCCTGGGTTTTCTGTTTTTCCATATGAAGTTGAGTATTGTTCTTTCAAGGTCTATGAAGAACTGTGCTGGGATTTTGATTGGTATTGCGTTGAATCTGCAGATTGCTTTTGGCAAGATTGCCATTTTTACTTTCTTGATCCTACCTATCCAAGAACATGGGAGATCTTTCCATTTTCTGGTATCTTCTTTAATTTCCTTCTATAAGGACTCCAAGTTCTTACTGTACAGGTCTTTCACTTTTTTTGGTTAGTGTTACCCCAAGATATTTTATGTTGTTTGTTGATACTGGGAAGGGTGATGTTTCTCTGATTTCTTTCTCATTGCATTTATCATCTTTATATAGTAGGGATACTCATTTTTATGTTAATTTTGTATCTGGCTACTTTGCTGAAAGTGTTTATCAGCTGTAGGAGTTACCTGGTAGAGTCTTTCAGATCTCTTATGTAGACAATCATATCATCTGCAAATAGTGAAAGTTTGACTTCTTCCTTTCCAATTTGTACCCCCTTAATCTCCTTTTGTTTTCTTATTGCTCTAGCTAGAACTTCAAGTACAATATTGAAGAGATATGGAGAGGGTCAGCAGCCTTGTCTTGTTCCTGATTTTACAGGAATCTCTTTGAGTTTCTTCCATTTAGTTTGATGTTGGCTGCTGGTTTGCTTTTATCATGTTTTGATATGCTCCTATTATTCCTGTTCTCTCCAAGACCTTTATCATGAAGGGATGTTGGATTTTGTCAAAGACTTTTCTCAGCATCTAGTGAGATGATCATGTGGGTTTACTTAGTTTGTTTAGATGGTGGATTACATTGATGGCTTTTCATATGTTGAACCATCCTTGCATTACTGGGATAAAGCCTAGTTGATCATGGTGGATGATTTTTCATATGTGTTCTTGGATTCAATTTGCCAATATTTTGTTGAGCATATTTGCATTAGTGTTCATGAGGGATATTAGTCTCTAGTCTCCTTTTTAGTTGAATATTTGTGTGGTGTGGGTATCAAAGTACTTGTAGCCTCATAAAAAGAGTTTGTTAATTTCCCTTCTGCTTCTATTGTTTGGAACAATTTGAGGAGTGCTGGTATTAGCTCTTGTTTGAATTTCAGGTAGAATTCTGAAGTGAATCCATCTGGCCCTGGGCTTTTTTTGGTTTGGAGGCTTTTGATGTCTGCTTCTATTTCATTAGGGGTTATAGGTTGATTTAAACTGCTTATCTGTTCTTGGTTTAATTTTGGTAAGTGATACCTATCCAGAAAATTGTCCATTTCCCTTAGATTTTCAAATTTTGTGGAGTATAGGTTTTCAAAGTATAACCCGATGTTTCTCTGAATTTTCTCAGTGTCTGTTGTTATATCCCCCTTTTTATTTCTGATTTTGTTAATTAGCATGCTCTCTCTCTGCCTTTTTGTTAGGTTGGATAGAGGTTTGTCTATCATGTTGATCTTCCTCGAAGAACCAACTCTTTGTTTCATTGACTCTTTGTAATGTTTACCTAGTTTCTATTTTATTGATATCAGCCCTCAGTTAGATTATTTCCTGGTGTCTACTCCTCCAGGATGAGTTTGCTTATTTTTGTTCTAAAGCTTTCAGTTGTTCTGTCAATTCTCTAGTGTGACTATTCCACAGTTTCTTCATGTGTGCACTTAGTGCTATGATCTTTCCTCTTAGCACTGCTTTCAGTGTGTCCCATATTTGGGGTATGTTGTGTCTAGATCCTCATTAAATTCTAAGAAGTCTTTAATTTTTTATTTCTTCTTTGACCCAGGAATGATGCAATTTGGTGTTGTTCAATTTAAATGAGTTTGTAGGTTTTCTGCAATTTGTATTGCTGTAGAATTCCAACTTTAAAGCATGGTCGCCTGATAAGATACAGGGTGTTATTTCAATTTTTTTGTATCTGTGAAGGTTTGCTATGTTGCCAAGTATGTGGTCAATTTTAGAGAAGGTTCCATATGGTGCTGAGAAGAAGTTATATTCTTTTGTGTTTGGATGGAATTTTCTATAGATACCTGTTAATCCCAATTGGGTCATATCTTCTGTTATGTCCTTTGTTTCTTTGTTAAGTTTCTGTCTGGTGGTCCCATCTAGTGGTGAAAGGGGGGTGTTGAAGTCTCCTAATATAAGTGTGTGTGGATTTATGTGTGGTTTGAGCTTTATTAATGTTTCTTTTACAAATGTGCATGCCTTCATATTTGGGGCATAGATGTTCAGGATTGAGACTTCATCTTGATGGACTTTTCCTGTGATGAGTATGAAATACCCCTCTTCATC